GAAGTAGAAGGTTAAAGCCTGTGACCCAAGCTCACCCAGGGCAGAATGACGTGGGATGAGCCATGGGATCTCAGTGCCTCAGTTTCTACTGAGGGAACGACAACAACAACAAAAAGAAACAAAACAAAATTAAAAAGAGGCTGCACTCAGGCACAGCTCAGATATTGTCGAGGGTTTAAATTAATTGGTGACTGTAAAACAAGTTGAGTTCTTCCAAAGGGAGACTTTAGAGAAGTGCAAAGTAATATAAATTAATCACTCCACTGCATAGGCTGGTTCATTCCAGAGGAGGGTCCCAGCCACGTGGTCATGACAACACTGTATAAATAAGGATAATGGCCTTAGTAGCTCTTATCTTTCCCGTCCAAGCTCACCCCTGCCCCAAGATCCAACTTAAAATTTCTGCCCAAATCTTCCCAAACTCAAGAACACACAAGCAAAATCATTTCAGGATTTTGAGGCTGGGCTGTAAGTTCCCATGATTTAAACTTGTTTTGCACCACTGCCTTTCTTGTTGGTCAATAGTTTCTAGTGCCAAAACCATGGTCCGGTTAGTGACTGATTCGAGTCATGGTCGCATGACTGATTTAAAATAAAAGAGGATTCAGGTGCCCTAACGCTGCACCACTTTAAGGGGCAAAAGACCTTCTAAAATGCCTGTTTTATCTTATGCCATGGCATTTGAAATACATTTCCTGACTTTTGTTTTGGTTCTGAAGCTTGTGAAATACTCTGATGTAAAGCGGGGGTAGAGGGGGGAGAGGGGGAGAGGAAGAAAAAGAAGGAGAGGGAGAAAGAAAGGAAGTAACACAAATGTTTGTGTATTTAAAATCCCAGGAGCACCAACTGCCTCCTATGACCATTACCAGGTGGTGGGTCTGTGCTGGGCTGAAAAGCACAAGCCCCAGCAGGTACCAGCACAACAGCCCCATCCGAGGGAGGAGCACTGCCTCTGAAGCAGTTATTGACTTTTGTCACAGTAAACATCAAGCCTTAATAAACAAAAAAGCTACAGACAAAATTATTTGGTTCATGGCTAAACTACGTATTACGTATTATTTATATAAAAATCACTACATACACTTATTATTGCAGTCCAACAGCACCTGGGTTTTGAGTCAAGTTAACAATAATACACAGTGGGGGAAACCATTGCCTTTTGCTTATATTAAAGAATAAAACGGAATTTTTTTTAAGCACCAAGCATGCAAAAGGGAAAAAAAAGAGCTTCCGGCCAAGAAACCAGATGCTGGACCATAAGTACATAAATAAAAGAAATCGCTTTCTATTACAGGTGATAAAAATTGTACTCAGCATCTTTTGATATATATCTTCTCAAAAGTTTTGTGAGCACAGCCCTCTTGTGGGCTCATTTGTGTGTGTGTAACAACTGGAGATAGGGAACAGCTAATTCCTTTACCTGTTGGACAGACCTTCCCTCCTCCAGGTTTCTAGAGAATTGGCTGCAGGTATAATCATTCATCCCCTTTCCCTGGAGGAACTGAACTCCTGCCAGCAATTTGTCAACATAATTTGGG